ATCTATGTTTTTTTTTTTTCGTGTAAAGTATCTAAGTGTATTATTGTAACGTGTGTATTATAATAACTTCTTCTTTTTTCCCCAACTCTGATGTATCTATATTTATCAATAAAAAAAGACCTAACAAATACAAGATCATTCTATACAAAGTGGAAATACACACTCACAATAAATAGACATAACTTTAAAAGGTTTAATAGGCATTCTTTAATGAGAGCAAAGATAAAAATCCCAAACTATACAATATACAAAAGTCTCACACCAGACTTGAAATGTCCCGTCTGATATTCCCTATTTAAAAATATTTTCAAGATAAAGGCTAAGAGAAAGTTTTTTCTTAAAGAACAAAGAAAAGATAAAGGCTAAGGGAAAAAAAACAAGAAAAGAAAATTATGCAAAAGAAAAAGCATCCACAAGAAACATAAAGTAATATAAGACCAAAAAAAAAGGACAAGTGTAAAGTGAGATTCATACGCGCAAGCTGACTAAGAACATAATCAACGATAGGTATTAGTAAGTTTTTTAATGTATTGTTAATGGATTTAATACAATTAAATAATTTTAGCATTTATTAGCAATCTATAAATGTTAAAATTAGCAACTTTAAGTTGGGATGCTAAGATTATTTATTATTTTTAATCCATTAACAATCTTTTAAAAAACTTACTAACACCCATTGTTGATGTATACTGAAATAACTTAAAAGATTGACAGGTTAGTTAGCTTTAATTTTCTTGGTCGAAAGTGTTATTCGTTTATTGAACAAAAGAAAGTGGTCATAATTAGAGTGTGTATGCAAACATGTTATTAAAATACAACGCTTTTGTTCCTTAACAATTGCTTTTTGACGTTGTCACAAATAAACAGTTAATATTTAATTATACATGTGTTATTTGATCAAAATAAGAGCATTTAAAAAAATGATATTTTTAAGTGTTATTTTACAAAAATGCTACACTTTTAAAATTTTTACAAAAATATCACTTTTTCAGAATTATTTTTTCTTTATATTATTTATGTTTGGGTTAATTATGTTCTATTAGAGTTTAGTTATGAGGGTTTAGGGGTCAAAACATTTTTAGTGTTTAGAATTTTAAGATATATGACTTAAAAATCTATAATTAGTGACATTTTTTCAAATGAACATCCCTAAATAACATTTTTGCAAATGTGCACATAAAAATGATATTTTTACAATTTTTCCTAAATTCAATTTGTTTTTGAATTTTACATTTTATTGATATTAATTGATGAATCCGGATACCATAAACTATAACGGATCCCTCAGTTCCACAAAAATGAATTTTTTGCAAAAAAAAAAATTGTTGCATAAAGATATTTTTAGTATTTTCAATACATTTTTATCATTTAATGCTA